TTGCCCTCTCGTTTTTCACTGGGAAAGGAAGCCAGCAAAGCATGTTTATTCTGGTTCCCAAAGGAGAGAAGGACCACATCCCTCCACCCCTAAAGAAAACTCTCTATTTGAAATGTCTTTTCCACTTACCCTGCTCTGAATAATGGAGTTTCTAAACTCTTTTGTTTTTCTAAATATTAAATTTTCAAAGGAAGGATATTTTTGAGTTCAAAGCACCTATTTCAAGTCTTTAATGGTTCTCTTGGTCTGGCATTCATCAGCAAGAATTTTTAAAACAGCATCCTGTGGGTCAGTTCAGTAGCTGAAAAGACTGTTCCAAGCCAACATTGTTGGCACATAATGCTGAGACGAATCTCCCCACAAAATCTTTGCTGTTCATTGGGTTCTGGGTCCTGGAGAGGCCATCTGGACCATCACTCTGTCTCCAGGCAGGCTGGTTGGGGGGCCAGCACAGGGTGGGATTTGTTGGGGCAAGTAGCCTAGAGTCACACAGCACTGGCCCCCCATATTTCTCAGCCTGCTGGGTGGATTGACCGAAGGCTGGAGCTGCCGGGAGTAGGACGCCATGCAGCCTTCTCATGTCCCCCACCTCCATGAGCAGGAGACGGTCAGTTCACCCTGAACTGGCCTCAGCACCTGGGATTCTTAGACCAGTGGCCCAAAATCCACCCTGGACCTTCTGCTGTTGCTCTGGCTCTGAGCTTCTTCAAAACTACACTGTGGGAAACTTGAAGACTCAGAAGAATGAACTTCTGAAATCCAAAGCAAGCCAGTTCCTGTCATCTTTCCTCACAGGTCCTTGTGTCCGGTTCCTCAGTCGTTCTGTGTGTCTCTGGTCACGTGCACCATCCTTGCTGCAGAGTTATCAGTTTCTAGGAATGTCACTGTTTCTCAGTGGGGTGCTATTGGCACTGGAGGTGGGCCATTCTCTGTCCTGTATATTGCAGGTCATCTAGCAGCCCTGGTTCAGCCCCCCAAATTCCAGCAGCCACCTCCAGTCATTATGACAACCAAGAATTCATTCTCAGCCTGGAGTTGAGTGGTGGTTGCAGTGCAACCCTCAGCCTGGTGGGGAGCAATACCACCCTCAGTCTGTCTTCAGCCTGTGGGCGGGCAGTACCATCTTCAGCCTGTAGGGGGGGCAGTACCATCTTCAGCCTGGGGGAGGGGCAGTACCGTCTTCAGCCTGTAGGTGGGGCAGTACCGTCTTCAGCCTGGGTGAGGGGCAGTACCATCTTCAGCCTGGGGGAGGGGCAGTACCATCTTCAGCCTGTAGGGGGGGCAGTACCGTCTTCAGCCTGTAGGTGGGGCAGTACCATCTTCAGCCTGGGTGAGGGGCAGTACCGTCTTCAGCCTGGGGGAGGGGCGTACCATCTTCAGCCTGGGGGAGGGGCGTACCATCTTCAGCCTGTAGCGGGGCAGCACCATCTTCAGCCTGTGGGCGGGCAGTACCGTCTTCAGCCTGTAGGGGGGGCAGTACTGTCTTCAGCCTGTGGGCAGGCAGTACCGTCTTCAGCCTGTCGGGGGGCAGTACTGCCTTCAGTACTGTTGGGGGGGCGGCATCACCCCCAGCTGAGGACCCCAGGGTTCTTAGCGCTATGCTCTGGGGGTCAGGCATTTCTCCTCTTCCATCATGAATTCCCAGCACCCAGCACAGTAGGATATCAGTAAATATTTGTCAAAGGAATGAAGGAATGAGATCCATGAGCAAGCTTCAAGAGGGTCTGCAAATCCTTTAAAATCGTGTGCAAAATGTGTATATTGTGTGCATTGTATACATATGTTTTCTGAGATAAGAGTTCATAGCATCCACCAGATTCTGCAAGAGGAATTGTGACCTACGGGGACGTTTGGAAGACTGTTCCAACCAGTGTCCACTACTAGCCCGTTGTTTGTGTCCCTGCAAACGTCACTGCACAGTGTGTGGGAACTGAGTTTTAGAGCTGCTGGTCTGTACCAGTACTCTGATATCCCTGAAGAAAGGAATGTCCTGAAAATTGCAGGGGAGACTCTGCTTCCCTGAGTTCATACAAGTCTGTAATGCAAGGGCTGTATTCTACCCTTTAACAAGAAATGGACTTACCCCTGGGCCCTTGGACTCACTAACAGGAAAGTTTGGTAAGAATAAGGCAGGAATGAGATATTTTCCTGCCAAATTCAAGAGTGTTTCCTGGGTGGCTTTCCTAAAGAAAGCTAAAGAAACTGGTGACATCACTCAGCTTCCGGTAAGCCGGGGCTCACGCATCACCTTGGCAGAGGTTGGCTGAGCCCCCCAGATGAGCAGTCATGACTTGCTTCCTCCCTGAGAATTCATTGTTGATGCAATTGTTTTAATAAAACACAGTCAATGCACCGAGGCAGGAAGGACAGCTAGGCCAAGCTGGTGGCTGAACAGAGGGCCCGAGTCCCAGAAACATCTGCAGACCTACGCGAAGGCTCATACTCAGCCCGTGGCCCTGTGGAATTGTAGTTTAGCCGCGCTGCCATGGCTTTGAATGAGGTCTCGGATGGAAGGGCGTGGAGGGTGTTAACATGAAAGCCTTGATGCTTTCCTGGCATCCATCTGCCCATCCTGGGATTATCCTGTCCCAGGAAGAGAAGCTCCAGCATTCTAGAGAGGGCATTTGGCCAGGGAAGGGGACAACACTGAAGGCTGGAAGCGCCAGCTCAGAGTTAATCTTGGGCCCAGTGAAGCATTTACCAAGAAGTCTATGATATCATTCGCCCCAGAGGGATCGTTCTGTTTGCAGAAGCTTCCAGCATATAGCCTGGATCAGTCACGAGCCTAGAAACTCCCTCGGGGGAAGATGGAAACTCTGAGGAACCCCTGATAGTTCAGAGCAGTCTTCTCAGATTTGAGTGTACCTAAAAAGTTACCTGGATAGCTTGTTTCTTTTTTTTTTAATTAGTTTATTTATTTTGCTGTGTTGGGTCTTTGTTTCTGTGCGAGGGCTTTCTCTAGTTGTGGCAAGCGGGGGCCACTCTTCATCGCGGTGCGCGGGCCTCTCACTATCATGGCCTCTCTTGTTGCAGAGCACAGGCTCCAGACGCACAGGCTCAGCCCGTTGCTCCGCGGCACGTGGGATGTTCCCAGACCAGGGCTCGAACCCATTTCCCCTGCATTGGCAGGCAGATTCTCAACCACTGTGCCACCAGGGAAGCCCCCTGGATAGCTTATTATATCAGATTCCAGGCCCTGACTCCACAGTCTAGTCAGCAGGGGCCTGAGCATCTGCATTTCTAATAAGCTCCCAGGTGCTGCTGATGCTGCCCGTCTAGGGACCCGACTTTGAGAACCACTGGTGTCCAGCAGGGGGTTCCGCACTGTGCTCCACAGCACCCCCTTGTGGGGAGAAGAAGGGATGCGAAAAGCAAGTGAATGGGACTCAGCGCCTCACCCCCATCTACATCCAAGACACCTCCCAGTCTTCTTTACAAATCTGGTTTTGGTGATTAAACAAAGAACCCCTGATAAAAAGGACAGGGCTGAGGGGACCACTGACCTGGAAGAGGTAGGTCCAGACCTGCAGGAGGGGTACTCCCTAGAGCCGCAAGCTTCCCCGCCCCTCATTCCAGTGTGCCTGGGGCAGGGGACAGCCTCTGCCCAAAACCTGAGAGCATCCAAAGCAGACCAACCCCAAGTAACCGGCTGAGTGAGCAGAGGCCAGGGCGGGTGCCACCTGCTGTGCCTGCCCCACCCCACGTCAGCAGAGCCTACTCCTCGTGGACCTGCAGCCAAAGCTGTGTCCGGCCATCTGCACCTGTCTGCACCTGGAATTCCCTGTCCACCTGTAGGTTCACTGCTCAGCTCCCGTGAGTGCAGGACAGCAGCCTGGTCCAGGAGAGTTTGCCCAGCAGCGTCTGGATGTGCCCCACCTCTGCCCTATCCCCGGGCCCATCAGGAGCCTCAGCACCGCCATTTCATCCTCCAAAAACCAACCTCAGGATAACCATGTGCCCTCCTGTAGCTCGGATCTAACAGCAGTGATCTGGGGTAGAGCCCAGTCTCTGGGGTCAAAGTGTCAGGTTCCCATCTCAGCTTCTCCACCACCCAGCTGAGAGAGCTTGGGTGAGGCAACCTCTCTGACCCTCAGTTTCCCTGTCTGTACAATGGGGATGATTTTAGTGTCTATGTAAGCATTAAACACAACTGTCAGTGTTCAGCTCCTGGTAGAGCACCTGGCATGGTGAGAGCCCTCAGGAAATGTCAGCCAGTTGTTACTAAGTCTACTCTGTTTAGTTTGTTTGTTTGTTTGTTTTGGTTTGTTTTTAGGCCGCCCCATGTGGCATGTGGGATCTTTGTTCCCCGACCAGGGATCGAACCCGTGCCCCCTGCATTGGGAGCACGGAGTCTTAACCACTGGACTGCCAGGGAAGTCCCCACTAAGTCTTCTCTCTTGACACTCTTTTAGTGGTTTTGCTGAAGCAGGAGTGTGAGGCCTGTAATAGCTTCCTGAGGCTGCGGTAACAAATGACCGCAAACTGGGTGGGCTTAAAACAACAGAAATTTATTTTCTCGTAGTTCTGGAGGTGAGACGTCCAAAATCAAGGTTTGGGCCGGGCCATGTTCCTTTGCGGGCTTCAGGGGAGAATTTATTGCATGCCTTTCCCTTAGCTTCTGTTGCTGCCAGCAATCCCTGGCATTCCTTGGCTTGTAGACACGTCACTGTAGGCTCTGCCTCTGTCGTCATGTGGCGTTCCTTCTGTCTGTCTCTGTGTAGTCTTCTTATAAGCATGCCAGTCATATTGGACTAGGGCCCGCCCTAATTGAATATGACTTTGTCTTAATTAGATTGCATCTGCAGAGACCCTATTTCCAAACAAGTCCCCTTCAGAGTTACCAGGGATAGGGCTTGAACATATTTTTTTAGGGGACAACACTGTCTAACTGGAGTGAGATCACGAGGCCACGAGGACCCTGGGGATCTTCCCCATGAAGCTGTACAGGCTTCCCCAGACCTGGACTAAATTGTCCCCATGGTTGTGTTTTGCAGGGTGTTCAGACTTACACCTCTTGGATATGTTGACCCCAACTGAGAGAAAGCGACAGGGCTACATCCACGAGCTCATTGTCACGGAGGAGAACTATGTGAATGACCTGCAGCTGGTCACGGAGGTAAGGGCAGCTGGGGGTGCTGGGGCAGGGTGGGGGGCACTGGCAGAGGGTGGGGAAGGCAGCGACTCTGTCAAGGAGGGCTGGGTCCTGATTCCCAGTGTGAGAAGCTTTCTGAGGTACGGGAGCATCAGGACGGTACATCACAGAGGAGAGTCTTACCCAAGAGAAGATGCTTAATTCTCATCCGCGGCCACGGACTCAATTCTCATCTGTGAGTCCTACCCACAGAGGGGCAGAGACCCTTCAAGCCAGGGATAGATGAGCCTGTGAGGAGTGCATGAGCGGGGACACACGGGCTGTGAGGTGGGAGTCTGAGCTCGGCTCAGAGAACTTGCAGCTCAGCCACCAGCTAATTGATGCCATAGAGCATCATCTCCCTGGCCCTCAGCAGTGACATCTGAAAGATGGCAGTCATCTGCTGATATCTTGGTTATTCCTCATGCTACGTATTACCCACCAGAAAAATCTGTTGCAGAGAATGAAGATGTTTCCTCCCGGCACCCCGTGCGTACCCTCCCTCCCCCGTCCTGGACGATGTCTCATTTTGGCTCTCCTCCCAGGGAGCTGTTGAAGGGCCTTGTCTGCCTAGTCCAGAGGATGGGGAGGTGCAGAGTTGGGAAGTTCTGCTTTTCAGGAAGCCTTTGGTCCATACTCATGGGAGGTTGCCATATTAGGAGACAGGGGTTTGCAGAGCTGGACGTCGGGATCACCCTACAGTTTGAAAAGTACCATCATCATTTGGGAACCCCTGTACCCCAACTATTGTGAAACCATCTCCTCTGATAGTCTTAACGACCCCGAAAGGCATTGCTCGGTTACCCAGTGTTGATGAGTACAGGATGCAGGATGAGTTGATGGCCCCCAAGGCCATCATTCATGCTTAGGGAGCATCGGTATGAAGAGGTGTCCCTTTCTCAAGACATGTGACTGTCACTAAATATACAGTCTTGGATGTCTAGGCTGTGAATGTCACCCTCTTAGATACGGTACGTTGTGCAGTGGCCTGGTATATGCCAGGTTCAACATCGGCTTAAAGACTCATGAAGTGCTCTGGGCTCCCAGGGATCAGCCTCAGCCTGCCCCGGTCCCTAAGGTACCTTCCAGCGAGTGGCCTGCCTGCAATGGCAGCTATGACCTCTTTCTAGGCAGGGGCTCACCACGTGGGGCTCAGTCAAGACCTGTGGTCTGCTGTGAGTTGCCCACCCACGCGGAACTTGGTGACGCTCCTCAATTTCCTGGAGCCCCGGAGGGGGGCAGCGCCCACCTGGTACCAGGCCTTCACTCACTGGCTCCGTCCCAGGCCCAGCCCAGGCTGCGGGCAGAGCAGAGGAGTCCATCCTGTTCCCAGGCTGCTGGTTGGGGGCCCGGCTGCCAGGGCTGCTCCCCTGGGCTTCCTGAGGCTTGTCTGTGCAGCCGATGCTGGGAGCAGGAATGCGGGAGTGCCCCCCACCCCATGCATCTCTCGGCCCTCCACTTCCCCCCTGTGCCCAATTCCCCACCGTGGCAGGTGAGGGCTTGAGAGCCTTTGTCCAGACCCCCTGCTGAGTCCTGGCGGAGTTAAGGCCTGTCCTCCAGGGTTTAGTGGGCCTCCTTGTAAAACAGTGTGGGCCTGATGGGAACCCACCAGCCCCCATAGACCCCGGCAGAGGGAGGGCCACCTGCTTCAGAAACTCTGCAGCTTCTGGGCCTCCCAGCCAAAGCTGCAGATGCCTCGGTCCTTCCCGTGGCTCTGAACAGGCCGGTGTGTGCGTGCGTTTGAGTTTTAAGCTAACTGTTTGCTTTCTGTACTGCTTCGTTTTCTGCATCTGTAGATCTTTCAGAAACCCCTGATGGAGTCTGAGCTGCTGACAGAGAAAGAGGGTGCTATGATTTTTGTTAACTGGAAGGACCTGATTATGTGTAATATCAAACTGCTGAAGTAAGCCTCTTCTCTACCCCAGCCCGCCTTAGCCCTCGCGCACCGGCCCTGCCACGCGGCTTCGTCCGTGTGTCCCCTCCGTGCATGCCGCCCTGTGTTTCTTTCTGCCTCTCTTCCTCATTTCCACTCACGAGAACCATCGCTCTTTCTTGCCCTGGTGCTTTCTGGAAACACACCCCCAATTTTTCACTGGGGAGAACGGATTGCTCAGGCATCCCGGTTCCTGCTTTTACCGTGGTTCTAGAATGAACAGAGCTGGGCCAATTCTGGCTCCTAATCGCTGGCCAGCTCCATCCAGGCGGGGGGCAGCCCCCCATGCCTCAGACCCTGGTTCCATTGGGGGAATGTTGGTCTCTTGAGACTCTCTTGGCTCCTGAAGATGGGAAACGGTGGGACCGCGCATGGCCACGGTCAGCGGCAGTTCTCAGCATAGGCCTCTGAGGAGCTGGCCTGGAGCGGTTGCTATTTTATTTATTCCTGTTTTAATTCTCAGAGGCAGCTGCAGGGCCAGGGAGAAACACTGGGCCAGGAGTCTGGAGACCTGGGTTTGGAGCCCAACTTGCTGCCCTTCCTCAGTTTCCCCACCGGTAAAAGGAAGGGATTGGATTACATCATCACAAAAGTCCTTTCCAGTTCTTAAAAGAACTTCCAAATCTGTGTCCACCAGGCCCTCGGTATAACATCATTTGCTAGAAAACAGATGAAGTCTGTGGTGATCCTGGGGGCCAGGAGGAAGCACAGGCCCTGGGAACTGGTGTCCATTCCAGCTCTCTAGGTTCATATAATCGGGAAGCAGCTATTCCCTGAATGTGGTCCCTGGGATTTTATAAAGGGATTTCAGGTCCCCACTTTCCTGAGTGTGTTTGGGAGTCGATGAAGGGATGGACAGAGAGGTGGATGTGAAGAAAAACTATAACGTCTTCTGTCTCTATGTTCTAGAAGACGTTAATCAAAGATGACGGCATGGGGGTGGCTTGGAGAAAGTATTTCCATTACCCCCCTTGAGAAGCATATTGTAGAGGTTTCTAGCGTAGGTCTGGGTCAGACTCTTGGGCTCACACCCTGCTGTTGCCTACCTGCTTTGAGCAAGTCGCCTATGCTCCCTGGGCCTCAGTGTCCTCATCTGTAAAATGGGGGTGATAATAGTATCTACCACGTACGGTTCTCCTTAGGGAGCATTTAGACAGCGATTGCCTGGTCCCTCGTAAGTGCTGGGCTTGGGCCCCAGGGTGGGCTGAGCACCCACTCTTGCCTTGGAGAGAGGCTGCCTTGTCACTTGGGGCAGGTGGGCTAGTTAACCCCTGAACCTACAAGTACTAAACCTCAAGTGTTGGAGACAGGTTGTTTTGAAATAGATGAAGAGGTTTTCTGTTGAACATATACCTACAAGTTAACACCTCTTTCCTTGGGCGGCTGCATGGGGGTGGGGAGGCAGGAAATGTGTCTGATGTTCCCGAGTGACACCCCTCCCCAACCCTCCCAGCATCGGCGCTCCCCATGCCTTTCTGTTGTCTCTGTACTTTTAACCCTCCGTCCTGCTCCTGTCAGGAAAGCAGAAGCCCCTTTCCTGAGCTCTGTCAGGGCCAGGCCTGCGTGTTCCTTCCTCCCATTAGCGCTGATGGGCTCCACAGCCCCGGAGGTAGGAATTGAGAACGCTCTTGCAACCGTGGAAACGAGGCTCAGAGAGGTTGAGTGACTTGTCCAAAGTCACACAGAAGCCGATCAGGGTGCCCCGGGCTGCTCAGTGGACAACGCCCAGGGTCCCACTAGGGGTTCCACCCTGTCCTGCCCTCGATGGAAAGAAGGTGAGACCAGGAGGCAGACGTCTCAAGTTTTCATCTGGGCTCCAGCGCCTTCTAACTCGTTTTGGGCAGTTACCTCGGGCAGATAACTCCCCACCCCTTTGTTTTAGAGCTTGTAAAATTGCAGTCAGGGCGCCTGCCCTGTCTAGCATGCAAGGTTATCCCAGGGAGCAAGGAGATCAGGTGTACAGCTGGCAATCATGGCACCAGCGGGCACAGACACCCCCTCTCCCATCACAGGTACGCTCTGCGCCTTCCTCTGATGACCTGATTGGTTAGTTGGGCTGATCTTTTCATTTTCCAGATAAAATACTTGTATTTAGCAGGAGTTTTCCAGGGACCTGATTTCTTTCTTCCTTTCTTTTCTTTTTTTTTTTTCCTTTTCAAGATCTTATTATGAACATTTTCAAACATACCAGAAAAAATTGAAAGAATTTTATGGTGAGCGCCCATATTGTAGATTATACAATTTTGCTGCATAGACTTAATTTCTTTGTGCAAAGGACTAATCCCAATGATGGGAAGATTTAGGACTCCTGGCAGGATGGAAGAAGATGAAGAGAACTTAAGGCAGCTCTCCCTGGAAGGCTGCAGTGGGCAGCCACGTATCTCTCACTCCTGATACAAGGGCCAGCGACTCCTTGTACTTAGAGGGGGGACGTAGGATTTATCAAACAGATAAATAAGAAACAAATAAAATGATCATAAAAGGGATCTACCTGGGGCACACAGACTTCCTACTAATGCCGCCTCTGGTTGGGGGTTAAAATGGATGGTTGACTGTCTCACCTGTGAGCAGAGAGCTGAGAAGTTTGCCTTCAATGAGCAGAGTAGGGGAGAAGAATCTAGAACATTTTAAAGTTAAGAGCTAGGCGCAGGCCCCTAGGGGTGGCTGTTAGAAGTGATAGCAGTAGGGACGCAGAAGTGAGATAGGGTGTGTAGAACCAGGTACTGCAGCTGTTTTTTTAATCAAGATCCTTTCCTGCCTCCTTGCTTGAAAAATAAATAAATGAAAGAGCTTCTCCCCCCCCCAAAAAATGTTTTTCTTAAATATTAAGTATTCAGTGTTCTTTTTAACTTAAGAAGAATAGCCATGATTTTATTTTAGGCAGAAAAACAAAGAAAACTAAAAAGTGAAAAAGATACCTTGTGGGGTAAAGACAGGGTGGGGAGAAGGAAAGAAGGGGCTTTGGGTGGGAGTGGGCAGGGTGAGAGGAAAGGAGGGAGAGGCTTGAGGAAATGAAGAGGAAGGACAGAAGGGAAGGGAAGAGCAGAGGGGCCATGGAAGCCCCCCTTGGTGGGATGGCAGGAGCTGCTTCTGGAGTGAGGACAGGCCAGGAGCCCCGAGCAGCTTGAGGGGAGGCGGGGCTGGGCACGGTGCTTGTTCTCACATGCGGTTCTTGCAGACTGTGGGCTCTGGAGACCAGGGCTTCCTGCCACCCATGAGCTGTGTGACTCTGGTCAAGTCACTCGATTTCTGCATGCCTCGGTTTCCCCAACTGTCAATAGGGATAATAAGTCATATAGGTGACACATAGGCCACGTTCATAAAGGCCAGCTCTCTTGACCATCCCCTTGATCTGCGAACTTCAGAGGGCTACTCATTCGGTCAGCAAATGTCAGGCTCTCTGATGTGTTCATTAGCTGACCTTGACTCCATAGACCTCTATATGAGATTACAGATCAGCTCACCCAAGGGCGGGGCTGAGGCTGCAGCAATGGACTCATGTGATCCCTGAGCCTGGTGATGTGCCCTGTTTCAACCCACTCAAACTCAGTCCTCAGAAGCCTTGCCTGTACGGTAGAACATCCCAGAAGTTGACTCACAGTTCAACCTAACAGGTGCCTGGTCCATAGCAGGGGCCTGATTTTAGGTCTGTCTCGCAGGTGAACAACTCAGGTCTCCAAGCGTGGGCCTCCAGAACCCAGGAACTGGCTTAACTTCCTCAAGACAGGGATGATCTGCGTGTGATCTTTTTTCTTTTCCCTTTTTCTTCTCTCCCCATCATTAAAAAAAATAAATAAAAGGAGGGGAGCAGGTGAACTTACTCTTATTCCCTTGCAGAAAGATTGTGTTGCTCCTCATTGGAAAATCATGGAATGATGGAATTTCTTCCCATTTCCGTCCATAGCAAGTTTGTAACATCGTTATTCAGCACTCTCATCCCCCAGAATTGGTAGTGACATAACCCTTGAGTAAATTTCTACACACTGGGAGATATTCCACACCAACCCTCCAATGAGCAGTGGCCACCTGGCCATCCTGAGGGTACCAACCTGCCATTCCTCACACCCCAGGCAGCCAGCGCAGACCAGCATCTCTCTCCACAAGGGCACCTGCTTGAGGGGGAGTGGCTCATTGTTTGGACCACATAACGCACTGTCCCTAAAGTTTTTCTCCTTGGCTTGTTTCCCAGTCCAAAGATTTTTTTTTTCTTTAACCAAAAATGTAGGAGAAAGAAAATAAAGTGATCTGAAGTTTTTAATACAAAGATTGCAGAGCCTTCTTAGAATTATATAGCCCTACCCATGACCTTGAAAGCAGCCAGAGGAATTCATAGTAACATCCTCCCAGCCTTATGTAAAAATCCCATATCATACCATTCTGTTCCTTCCATCCATCCATCCATCCATCCATCCATCCATCCATCCAGGCATCCAGCCATCCAGCCGTCCATCATCCATAATCACCAGGGTAGGCAGAACACACCCATGGCCTCATATGTCGAGGTCCTGCCCTTATAGTACATTGCTATCCTTGCTGCATAAAAGCTTGGTGCCATGCCCTTCTTATAGATGCTGGGTTAGGAGTTGACATACGAGTTAGAAGGGTGGGATGCACAGTCCTGATTGTTATGGTCTTGAACACTCAGATGCAGCTGGACTCCTGAACAAACACTTTCCAGTCCCTCTAGTCCCTTCTCAGCTTCCAGGATATAAATTGTTTGAGTCTATGACCCATTATCATATGAATAGGCTTCTCTCTTCAGAACTCCTCTTAATCCAGTCAACTTCAAATTAGCCACAGCGATGGAGCAGTGAACCAGAGAATGGCACAGATTGTTCAGACAATCATTTATACCTGGCTTTCGTGAACATAATGGGATTGTTTTTCTGTGGCAGTTGATTTACCATCTTGATTATGTTTTGTTTGGTCTGAAATTGAGCCTCCATGGCCCCTGGCAACAGCAGCTTCCCTTGGGTAGCACTGGCCCCGGAAACAGGTTCAGTGTTGGGGCCATACCAGCCTGGACAGATCAACCATAAAGTGAGACATCCACCCAGGGATCCTGTCTGAGTTATTCAAAAACAGGATTCCATATATTTCCACAAGAAAAAATTGTCTTTTATGCTGACTTGTTCAGCAAAGTTGTGTTTTTTTATTTTAAGTTTTTCTTCCTAAGAGCCAGCAAACAGACTTCATGTCAAAGAAAAATGCCCCAGTGATACCTCTTTGTAGCACTAGACTCATTTCTTTTCCTGTTCCTTGTCTGCCACATAGATGCTTTAGTGGCCCTGGGTTTGTGCCCCTCACACACATCCCATTTCTGTACCACCTAGAAGTGTGCTGTGTACACGTCAGAGAGCGTGAAGAGGGCGCTCACTTCTCGTGTTTCTGTGCAGAGCGCTGAGAGTTCGCAAGAAGATGTCTGGGGAGAAGATGCCTGTGAAGATGATCGGGGACATCCTGACTGCCCAGCTGCCACACATGCAACCCTACATCCGCTTCTGCAGCTGCCAGCTCAACGGGGCTGCCTTGATCCAGCAGAAGACAGATGAGGCCCCCGACTTCAAGGAGTTTGTCAAAGTAAGGAGCCCAGGCTGAGCTGAGTCTCTGCCCCCGCCGAGTGGCCGTCTTCCAGCAGCTGGGCATGTGAGGGGCTGATTCACACATTTACAGAAGGCCAACAAGGGTGAGGTCCCGGCTGAACAGTAGGGGCTGCCTCTTGCTGGCGACTGGCTGGGACCAAGGGGGTGGGCTTGGAGAGGAGGGACCAGTGCTGGCCTAGAAGCTCTGCCTTGGCTAGGTGTGAGTGGTGTTATTTGAATACACGTTTAAATCCTCCATCTCAATTTTAGGCCTAGGAGGGCTGGTGGGTCTCAGGTTTCCTATTCTGTTTAATCTGAGCATCCTCAGTTCTTTGCTGCTCTCTGCCCTTCACCTGCAAAGGGAATGGCCAGCAATCCCAATGGACCCTTTGTTTTTTTCCCAATTGGTTCTTTTTGATGGGCTCAAGCTCTAAGAAGCCCATGGGGGTGAATGTGGGATGCCAGGACCTCTGCCTTGGAGGATAACAAGGGTCTGGAGAGCCATGTGCCCACCAAGGGACATTGTGGGGAAGTGGGCCCCATGCTGCTGGAGACCCCAGGCTTTGGGTCTACTGCCCTTCGCTGGGGTGGGTCCCTGCTGGCCAGGCCAGCCCATGCAATCAGCCCCAACCTCTCCCAGAGGGGAAGAAAAAAGAGAATAAAATAACGTCTGCTAAACAGGCACATTTTGATGAACAGACAGCAAAATAATCATACTAATGACAGGCTTATCTTTGTACCTCCTGCATTTTGGGGGCAGGCCTTTCCCACTCCCCTGAGTAACCAAGTTTGTGGAGTCATCACTGGGAGGGGAAAATGCCATCTCTTCTCAGCCGTAGCATCAGATGTTCTTGTTCTTTCTTTTTCACCCTATTTCTCAATATTAAATGCTCTGATTTTCTACCCAATGAGTGGGGCATCTAAGGGAAGAAACACTGCTATGAAGTAGGCCTAGGGTGGGCTGGAGACTGGAGAGCAGATACTGGGCTGCCAGGTGCCATGGGCCACCTGGGGTTCCAGCCAAGGGCCGCAACCTCCCTGGGTGCAGGCAGGATGAGTTCATCACTGGATGTACTTGAACTTGAGGAAAATGCTGACACCAGCCCAGGAGGGGCCTTGTTGCCCCTCCCCTTCTCACCCCTCCCCTCATCCCCTCTCCCTGCCTTATTCCTGTGGGACTTTGACATGCCTTTGCCTGCTGCAAAGTGTTCCTGGAATAATGGTGTCCACGGATGGAGCAGGTTCAGGCACTGACAGGTCCCAGGGCTTGGGGTCCAGGTCATGGCATTAAACCTGTTCCTAAGACATTAAACCTTTGAGAGCTGTCACCATATAACCCCTGTGACTTGTAGACAGGGTCACCTTTTGGAGGTAAAAGAACTCTTGTCCTCCAGTCAAGTTGACAAAAGTGGTGGAAGGAGAGGCAGGGAGTCCAGAGTGGAGATAACCACAGCCCCTGGGACTGGGGGCCTGACCCTCATGTCTCGGCTTCACCAACCCTACCCTTCTGGGGCTCCCACCGGCGAGTGCAGGCTTCACCCAAAACAGATAGTGAGATCCGGCCAGGCGCTTCCAGCATCTCTGGGACTTAAGGGGGATTTTTGTTCTGACCCTATAGTCTTGTGACTCTCCTTGCTCCTGGGAATGTTATAAAGTTTTGGTAGGTATCCAGAGGAAATATTCTCTGTAAAGCCAGAATCTCATCTCTGGAAGTAAGGAACCGCATGTCCCATGGAAGGTCCACTGGATCTGGGGAGCAGGGGTCAACCCTGCAGCTGAGTCACATCCAAGGTAGATTCCCACTCTCCATCTGGAACGTGCCTCCTCCTGGCTTGGGGATAACCAGCCCGGCTCTTCCAGCTCCGGTTCCTCAGCTGTCATTCAACTAAATGAGACAATGTGATGGGTGGGGAGTCCTGAATAACATCGATGTTGATGTCACTGACCAGATTTTGCAAACTTCTTAAGTACATTTAAAAAAATCTCTTATTGCAGAGACTGGCCATGGACCCTCGCTGTAAGGGAATGCCACTCTCTAGTTTTATACTGAAGCCTATGCAACGGGTAACGAGATACCCACTGATCATTAAAAATGTAAGTAGCTGTCTTGCCTTTTCAAGTAGAGGAATGCTTTCCCAGCAGGTCAGGAATCTGGGGCCATGGGCAGGTTAGCCAGCCAACGCACCTGGTATCTATTGTGTAGAAATCTTATACCAACAGGCTGCAGGAGGCATCTACTTGGTAACTCAGAAAGAAAAGCTGGCTTATCATGAAAAGAGCTAATAATACACAGCCTTCAGCTGTGCAACCAAGTGGCCTCCACCTTCTAAGTCGGAACATGAGAGCTCAGTTCTTTTCCTAATACAGGCAGAGTGTGTTTAGGCCTTGGTTTTCCTAGTAAGAAAGAGAGAAAGAAATATAGTTTCCACCACTCATCTTCAGAAAGCCATTGTGAGATACTCTATGTTGATATTAGATGATTGTTTTTCTCCTGTCATTTTAAGAAAGCCAATACCAAAAGAAAAGAATAGAAAAATTAGGGTTTCAACATGCCCATCTGTAAAGTGAGTGAGCAGACTTAGACATCCTCTGAGCCTGTGACTCTATAACCACAGGGAGGAAAGCTCCTGGAGAGAAGTTTTAGATCTGGTTCCTTTCAATGGAGAATTTAGAAACCCAGATCTAGACACTGGTGTGCTCACTGATACTGAGGTGTTGTTGCCTTTTGAGTCTCTCAGTGGCCAAGCCAGGCAATATATATATGTGTATATATTCATACCCACATATTTACATAACATAAGTGTGCAAACATATTTATTTCAAGATTTATATATATTATAATATGTATTAAAACCCATGAGTTTACACCAGTACTTCCTGTTCTAATCTAGTATCATGGAATTTATTCTAGCCTTTCCCCTTTCTCTGTATATAACTCTCTTCTCCATGAGAAGCCTGGCTCTCATTATCCTCAATAGATTTACTTATTTGCTGAATCCCCTTATATGTAGCAAATTTCCCTCTCATATACGCCAGTTCCTCAGTCCAAGCCCAGTTTGACCCCACAAAATACACTGTGGCCACATTGGTTAAGTTAAAGAATTAGTTTTTGTTTGTTTGTTTAGTTCTGTTTTTTTGCGGTATGCGGGCGTCTCACTGTTGTGGCCTCTCCCATTGCGGAGCACAGGCTCCGGACGCGCAGGCTCAGCAGCCCTGGCTCACGGGCCCAGCCGCTCCGCGGCATGTGGGATCTTCCCGGACCAGGGCACGAACCCGTGTCCCCTGCATCGGCAGGCGGACTCTCAACCACTGCGCCACCACAGAAGCCCTAAAGAATTAGTTTTGAAAGAAGCTTTCAATCTACTGTTTCCTTTTCTCCAACTTGACAGTTACTGTTAAACTAACTCAACACCTTTCTTTACTTCCCCCAATATTTAGTTGGGAATGAAGTTGGAAACAAGCTTTTTAAGTTCTAAGGGCTTCCCTGGTGGTCCAGTGGCTAAGACTCCACACTCCCAGTGCAAGGGGCCCAGGTTTGATCCCTGGTCAGGCAACTAGAGCCCACATGCTGCAGCAAAGATCCTGCATGCTGCAACTAAGACCTGGAGCAGCCAAATAAATAAAATAAATATTAAAAAAAATAAAATAGGTGTTCTAGATCTAGCTAATGGGGAGAAAAACAAAAACAAGAAAAGGACTGAGAGACATAAATATCAAAAAAGAAAAATCAAATTATCATTCTTTGCAGAAACATGATTGTTACCCTAGAGAACCCAAAAGAACGAACTGAAAACTAGCAAACCTAAGAAGAGAATTTTTAAAGTTGGCCAGTTATAACATACATATGGAAAACTGTAAAAATACTAAGATTAAATATTCTTTATAATACTGAGGTGGAGAAATTCTTAGCATGGCACCAAAGACAGAACTTTAAAAAATTTAGAGTTGTAGCAACTTGAAAAAAATTTTTTTTCCTCTGGGAGAAACCTAGAGGTTCATTAAGGAGAGTAGTTAAATAAAGTGGTGAGTCTATACTATGAAAGAGACTTTTTTATATTAGCTGGAATGATATCTAGAAAATGCTGTTAAGTTAAAACAAAACAAACCAACCAAACAAACAAAACCCCAAAACAACCTTTCACAAGCAATCCTACAATATGGTCCATTTTGCAAAACTGAGGAAAAACTCTGTGTGACTGTTAAATGTATGTGGAGCATCTGAAGGGAAATAAAGGGATGCCCTTAAGCCTGGGTACAGTTACCTCTGAGGCAGGAGAGCAAAGGGGATAGAGCACAGTTGTTATCTATACTTCCGTGTTGTTTGACTCTTGCATATCAAGAATGTGTTAATATTATTTGAATAAACGTTTTTCTTAAAAAATGTTGTGTAACAAAATATAATGAACATTAAAAGACAAATGACAGATATAAGCTGAGTAAACAGATTTTAACTGTATATAAGAAGATACTGAAATACACATGGATTATCTATCTATCTATCTATCTATCTATCTATCTATCTATCTATCTATCTGTCATCTCAAGCACTCTTATAACTCAGAATGAAAAAGACAAATACCCTAATAGAAAAATAGGTAAAATATACAACTAGACATTTCTGAGAGGAGTGTAGAATAGCGGTAAAGAACATGCTGTCATCTTCAATGAGGTGTCGTGCAGAAGTCTGCCGTGGAATCTGTGATCTGACGCGTTAGACACAAAGCCTCTGCACACGACCCCCTATAAGCACATGAAACTGGACAGAGAAGAAGAGTCACAACTATTGCCCTCGAGCTGAGGTGTCACTGTCACCATTTCTCATGAGAAAGTCTGGTCTGAAGTGCAGGGGGGAGGCCTCTGAACGTGGCCCTCTATGAGCAAGTGGAACTAGACTGAGCACAGAGGAAAAGAAAAAAAGCCGTGGGGCTGACAGGGTCTAGGTGCTCCGTCTGGGTGTCAGGCCTGAGCCTCTGAGATGGGAGAGCTGAGTTCAGGACACTGGTTCACCAGAGACCTCTCGGACCCACATAATATCAAATGGCGAAAGCTCTCCCACAGATCTCCATCTCAACGCCAACACCCAGCTCCACTCAACAACCAGCAAGCTACAGTGCTTGACACTCTATGCCAAACAACTAGCAAGACAGGAACACAACCCCACCCATTAGCAGAGAGCTGCCTAAAATCATAAGAAGGCTACAGACACCCCAAAACACCCACTGGATGTGGTCCTGCTCACCAGAAAGACAAGATCCAGCCTCATCCACCAGAACACAGGCACCAGTCCCCTCCACCAGGAAGCCTACACAACCCACTGAACCAACCTTAGCCACTGGGGCAGACACCAAACACAATGGGAACTATGAACCTGCAGCCTGGGAAAAGGAGACCCCAAACACAGTAAGTTAAGCAAAATGAGGATGCAGAGAAACACACAGCAGATGAAGGAGCAAAGTAAAAACCCACCAGACCAAACAAATGAAGAGGAAATAGGCAGTCTACCTGAAAAAGAATTCAGAGTAATGATGGTAAAGATGATCCAAAATCTTGAAGATAGAATGGAGAAAATACAAGAAACGTTTAACAAAGACCTAGAAGAACTAAAGAGCAAACAAACAATGATGAACAACACAATAAATGAAATTAAAATTTATATAGAAGGAATCAATAGCAGAATAACTGAGGCAGAAGAACGGATAAGTGATCTGGAAGATAAAATAGTGGAAGTAACTACCACAGAGCAGAATAAAGAAGAAAGAATGAAAAGAATTGAGGACAGTCTCAGAGACCTCTGGGACAACATTAAATGCACCAACATTTGAATTATAGGGGTCCCAGAAGAAGAAGAGAAAAAGAAAGGGACTGAGAAAAAATTTAAAGAGCTTATAACTGTAAACTTCCCTAATATGGGAAAGGAAATAGTTAATCAAGTCCAGGAAGCACAGAGAATCCCATACAGGATAAATCCAAGGAGAAACACGCCAAGACACATATTAATCAAACTATCAAAAATTAAATACAAAGAAAAAATATTAAAAGCAGCAAGGGAAAACCAACAAATAACATACAAGGGAATCCCCATAAGGTTAACAGCTGATCTTTCAGTAGAAATTATGCAAGCCAGAAGGGAGTGGCAGGACATATTTAAAGTGATGACAGGGAAGAACCTACAACCAAGATTACTCTACCAGCAAGGATCTCATTCAGATTCAACAGAGAAGTTAAAACCTTTACAGACTAGCAAAAACTAAGAGAATTCAGCACCACCAAACCAGCTTTACAACAAATGCTAAACTTCTCTAAGCAGGAACTTCAAGAGAAGGAAAAGACCTACAATAACAAACCCAAAACAATTAAGAAAATCGTAATAGGAACATACATATCGATAACTACCTTAAATGTAAATGGATTAGATGCTCCAACCAAAAGACATAGACTGGGTGAATATATACAAAAACAAGACCCGTATATGTGCTGTCTACAAGAGACCCACTGACATAGACTGGGTGAATGGATACAAAAACAAGACCCGTATATATGCTGTCTACAAGACACCCACTTCAGATGGAAGTCTGTAGGGACACATACAGACAGAAAGTGAGGGGATGGAAAAGATATTCCATGCAAATGGAAATCAAAAGAAAGCTGTGGTAGCAATTCTCATATCAGATAAAATAGACTTTAAAATAAAGACTATTACAAGAGACAAAAAAGGACACTACATAATGATCAAGAGATCAATCCAAGAAGAAAATATAACAATTGTAAATATTTATGCACCCAACATAGGAGCACCTCAATACATAAGGCAAATGCTAACAACCATAAAACGGGAAATCAACAGTAACACAATTATAGTAGGGAACTTTGACACCTCACCTTCACCAGTGAACAGATCATCCAAAATGAAAATAAATAAGGAAACACAAGCTTTAAATGATACATCAAACAAGATGGACTTAATTGATATTTATAGGACATTCCATCCAAGAACAACAGAATACAGTTTCTGCTCAAGGGATCATGGAACATTCTCCAGGATAGATCACGTCTTGGGTCACAAATCAAGCCTCAGTAAATTGAAGAAAATTGAA